TCTTTTTTTTTAGATATTGTTTATTCAAATAACATTTTTAAAAATCAGGTACCTTTTTGTTTTTCTATGATATTTCAAAGAGTGTGGTACATTTTGTTAACAAAATTATCTAGTTAAGAGATGATTTTGAAGGAAAAAAAAAACACGAAATATCGTTTCATCTTCATCTTCTTGTTGTGAAGTAACTTGTTAATATTTGCCTCTATCAGCTTTTGTTTAGAAAGTACACCACATTTACAACTTTATTGTAAAGTTAAAGCAAGCAAGTGTGATGAGTGGTAAAAGATAATAATGAAAGTAAGATTGCTTTTRAAAGATCACATAACACATATAGTGCTTCTCCTTTTATCTCCCCATAACTTAAAAGATACATAATTCTTTGTTTTTAGGAAATGAATTATTCATTGCCAAACATTGGCGTGAGTTTGAATAGGAACAAGATTTGGTTGCACATCAAGGTAAACAATAAACTTCTAAAATCAATTTATTTATTATCCCTTTTTTTTTCCTTTTAATGCAGAGTCAAGAATACAAAATATATGTACTTCTAAAAAAACCATTTAATTTGTCATTTGTTATACTTTTTCTAAAATTAAAATTGTAATTTCCAATAGTGTGGTTGTTTGGGACATAGCATGGGTGGGGCCCACAGCCGAAAGAAGAATCACAACTGTGTGTAAACTCCATCAACCGAACTCTAATCTCTCACACACCCACCGTTGATCTTCATTACCAAAGATCATAGGACACGTGTCGATTGATAAGAGCTGGTTCAGAATAGGCCACACGCAGCTCCCCTGCAACTATCCGTTAAAAAGGACGAAACTTGGTGGGCTGTTCCATGGAAAATCTTTCTTTCCTCTTTCTCGACACCAACTTTGAAAACCCCAAAAAGAAAACGAACCGCAAAAATGAAAGAAAAGAAATATATTAATACAAATTTCAAGGGCGAGCGTGGAGAACAAAAGATGAAAAAATACAGAAAAACGCAGTAAATAATTCAAACAATACCCTATTCAGGTTTGTGATTCCAAGATGTTTTTAATCTGTCTGACGTTTGTCTTTGTACAGATCGGACGGTGGAGAATTTGGGAGGAAGCGTAATTGGACTATCAGTTCACTCATAGTCAACAGTCTGTCAGCTTTTCCAGGAAGAAAAAGAAGCTCTATTGACGATTCTATAAAACCATACCTTTACTAACTTTCCCATTTCTCTCCTGTTTCTCCACACTCAGTCATGGCGATTCTGAAGCTTTTTGCTCTCTGCATTTCCTTCTTCTTATTGATTACAGCCCCCCCAGTACAAGGTGATTCCTTATATTCTCCTTCTTCTTCTTCTTCTTCTTCTTCTTCTTCTTCTTCTTCTTTTTCTACTGATGTTCAGCTGCTTTTGGGAAAAATCAGAGCTTCACTTGAAGGTGACACTCAAAACTTGCTTTTGTCTTCATGGAACTATTCGTTGCCTGTGTGTCAATGGAGGGGACTCAAATGGGTCTTCTCCACTGGAACTCCTCTGCTCTGCAGCGATTCTTCTTCTCCACAATGGTCTAATCTCACTCTGTTTAAAGACCCTTCTCTTCACGTTCTCTCTCTGCAGCTTCCTTCTGCTAATCTCACTGGTTCACTTCCAAAGGAGCTTGGTGAGTTCACTATGCTCCAAAGCCTCTACCTTAGCATAAACTCCTTGACTGGAACCATTCCCCTTGAACTTGGTTACAGCTCCTCTCTTTCTGACATTGATTTGAGTACCAATCTGTTGGCCGGAGCTCTTCCGCCGTCGATCTGGAATCTGTGTGAAAAACTTGCTTCTGTCAGACTTCACGGAAATTCATTATCTGGGTCTCTGCCGGAGCCTGCGTTGCCAAATTCGACCTGTAAGAATCTGGAGGCTTTGGATTTGGGCGACAACCAGATTTCAGGTACTTTCCCGGAGTTCATAACTAGATTTCAGGGTCTGAAAGTGCTTGATCTCGGGAAAAATATGTTGTCTGGACAAATCCCACAGAGTTTAGGCCAGTTAGAACTCGAGAAGTTAAACCTCTCAAACAATAACTTCAGTGGAATGTTGCCTGTTTTTGGTAACTCAAAGTTTGGCGTGGAGGCTTTCGAAGGCAACAGTCCCGGGCTTTGTGGGGTGCCTTTGAGAAGCTGTGCTGTGACTTCTCGGTTGAGTTCGGGCGCCATTGCAGGCCTTGTTATCGGCTTGATGACTGGGACGGTGGTTTTGGCTTCATTGCTGATTGGGTATATGCAAAACAAGAAGAAGAAGAGTACGAGTGAGAGTGAAGATGAGATTGAGGAAGGAGAAGATGAAGAAAATGGTGGCGGCATCGGTGGCACGGGTGGTGAGGGCAAGCTCGTTTTGTTTCAGGGTGGCGAGCATTTGACATTGGATGATGTCTTGAATGCTACAGGGCAGGTTATGGAGAAAACAAGCTATGGCACTATATATAAGGCAAAACTTGCCGACGGAGGTACCATTGCTCTAAGACTGCTGAGGGAAGGGAGCTGCAAAGACAGAAATTCTTGTTTGTCTGTGATTAAACAGTTGGGAAAGATTCGCCATGAGAACTTGATTCCATTGAGAGCTTTCTATCAGGGAAAGAGAGGAGAGAAGCTCCTCATTTATGACTATCTGCCTATCAGAACTTTATATCATTTTCTTCACGGTATGCACTGCACATTCTCTCATGTTTCTTTTGCTATATTCTCTTTTTCCCCTTTCCTCCTTTCAAATTAACCATTTGATTATTGAGATAGTTGCGTCTAAAGTCGTGTATTTGAAACGTGATAGCCACCTATTGGGACTACTAGTATCATAAGAAGTCCGCAACAAAAATGTAGTAGGATCACGAGTTATCTTGTAGGAGATTAGTAGCACTTATGCTCAGGTTATAAGAAAAGAAAAATGAGAAGTAATTCGAAGTATCAACTAAATATGGCTTTCACATGAAGAACTTACATCCATTACTTGATGAAAACATCTTACTCTTCTGCATTTTGTTGGAAGTGGCCACTTCAGTAAGGATCTTATATTCAAAGTCTTACCTTAATTCTGAACCATGGTTGTACTACATTTGAGAAATGTGGCCCATTGTAGCCGATAGAACATAAAAACTGCCTGAAAAGACTGTTGTGTATTGAATGGTTCTGTTCCACATACTCTTCCAAGACAACAACTTAAAATATCAAGCAAAATCTTCTGTCATTGTGTCCCATACAATTACAAGGCCCTCTGGTTGATTTCCAGGTCCTCGTCCAACTATAAATCAAGTTGTCCTAAGCATTAAAATGGCGATAAAATGGCGAACGGTCGAATTTCGTTTAGATGTGTGGCTATTTATGTTAAATATGTTTCTAGACTACCACTAAACGAAGATTTGTTTGCTTTCTGATCGAATGCAGAATCTAGAGCAGGAAAACCGGTGYTGAACTGGGCTCGGAGGCACAAGATTGCATTATGCATCGCCCGGGGACTAGCCCATCTGCACACAGGGTTTGAGGTTCCCATTACACATGGTAACGTGAGATCAAAAAACGTGCTTGTGGATGACTTCTTTGCAGCGAGGCTGACGGAGTTCGGGCTGGACAAGCTGATGATCCCATCGGTCGCAGACGAGATCGTGTCGGTAGCAAAGGCGGACGGGTACAAGGCGCCGGAGCTGCAGAGGATGAAGAAATGCAATTCGAGAACAGATGTGTATGCATTTGGAATCCTGTTGCTGGAGATACTGATAGGGAAGAAGCCAGGGAAGAGTGGGAGGAGTGGAGATCATGAGTTTGTGGATCTGCCATCAATGGTGAAAGTGGCAGTTTTGGAGGAGACAACAATGGAGGTTTTTGATGTGGAGGTTTTGAAAGGGATAAGAAGTCCAATGGAAGATGGAGTGGTTCAGGCATTGAAGCTGGCAATGGGATGCTGTGCTCCTGTGGCTTCAGTCAGACCCTCCATGGATGAAGTTGTGAAGCAGTTGGAAGAGAACAGACCAAGAAACAGATCTGCTCTCTACAGCCCAACAGAAACAAGAAGTGAAATAGGTACCCCATTTTGATCCCCTTTTTCTCTCTCTCTCTCTCATTTCATTATATTTTATTTTAACATGAACTTAATTGTAATACATGCTGATAGTGTTCATTCATATGCTAGTAAGAGGAAATTATATAAGTTCTTCTGGGTTATTTCTTCTTTCTTTCTTTTGCTGATTCAAAGGGTTAAAACACCGCCTAAAATCATGAATACTTCAATTTAGATAACGCGTCTATGCCAACACGTACCAGACACTTGTTAGCCCAATAGATGTGTGTCACAGAGTAGTTGTATTAAGTGAATATGAATCCAATATTTACGTGACACATTAATTATATTATTTAAAGATAGAGTATGTAGAGAGGTTATTTTAGATAGGTTCAAGTGTTTGGTGGCTCAATATTACCGACTAAGTTGATTAACGGCTTATCATACAAAAATTGAAAAATTGGGCCTATTAGAATATTTGTAAAGTATAACACAATTGTAAAAAGTTTAGAGAGAGACTTTTTTTTTTTTAAATTAAAAAAAAAAACAATAAGTTGTTTTAGTATTATGAAGAAAATAATCCTGAGCATAGCTTATTAGCTTGATAATTAAGAAGCCATCGCAATTAATGTACTAAAGTCTTTTTCAAAGTTCGATCTCCATCATTAAAAAGAAAAAAACTTACTTAATTGTTACAAAATTTTTGGTTGATGGCTAGAACAATGTCACAGACAGCCATGAGTTGTGGTTAAAATGGAGAAACTTTCCAATAAAATATTTATTAATTACATGACTTAATATTAGTAGATTAGAACCAAATATTTTTCCGTTGAAAGGTCAACAAGCAAGCCACGTCAGCTTCCACATCGTCATCGTCATCTCATCACTGCATCTAAAAATTATTTTTCATTCTATTTTTAATAAAAAAAAGTTTAAATAATATTTTGATTCACTTCCATTAACTTTTATTTAGTTTCGGTATTTATATTTTTTAAAATTGAATATTTTAGTCTCTATTCGCAATTATACAACGCAAACTTTTTAATATAAATTTATGATTATATTTTAAAGAATTTAGTAAGTGAAGTAAAGCGTCATGTTAAATTTATAATCGAAATAAATAAGATATAAATGAAAATGAAGTTGAGACTAAACTTGTTTAGTACATGGACCAAAACAAACATTCAAATACTAAAATGAACCATAGTTGAAAGTATAGAAATCAAAACGAACATTTTGAAAATACGAAGGACAAAAAATGAACTCAGAGAAATATCGAGACCAAAATAGTAATTAAACAGAAAAAGAAAAACTTATATTTCATTATTGCCAAAATTAGAGAATTCAAATGAAAGGTTGGTGGGAAATTAAAGATGAGATGCAGCTTTAGGTGGGAAAATGAGTTGCTATGCCCAATGCCATTAGTTTTCCCATATAATTGAAAGAAAACGCAAGGGACAAAGTGTTGAATGCATTAATTGTCCTCTCTTTATTGAGTATATACACAAAAGTATTTCATTTGGTGGAAGTGAGCTGCCTATATGTTAAAAAAGAAATTATTTTAAAAAATATATGTTAAATAAAATAACGGGGTTAGCGATTAGTTTTAAACTTTTTTTTTCTTTGGGCGGTGCCTATTTAGTCCTTATACTTTAGTCATCTTAAGTTTGACTTAATTGGTTAAAGCACCCAACTAAAAGATCGTGAGTTCAAATCTTCGTCCTCATATAATATTATACTAAAAAAAAGTTCATGTACTATAAAAAGTTACTAATAGGTTCCTAAAATATTTTCAAGATTGTGCAAGAAACACATATTGTTGCACTAAAAAAAAGTTCATCRACTTTAAAAAGTTGCCAASAGGAAGGATTCTTGACAACTTGTTAACCAATATAAAAATATATATTATCCAATAATAATAATAATAAATAAATAAATAAATAAATTCCAACCCTCTTGGGACCGTACGTAAATCAATCTCTGAATAGAAGGGTAGTAATCTTGATGGTGAGAATTTGCATATATATATATATATATATATATATATATATATATTTTGTAGATTGAACTTGAATCAATATGGCATATATAAATAAATTCTAACCCTCGAGGGCCTTACGTAAATTAGCCTCTAAATAGAAGGGTAGTAATCTCGAGGGTGAGAGTTTGCATATATATATATATATTTAACTTGAATCAATATGACATTATAAAAAAAAAGAGTAATACTAATTTTGATAGATGCCATATAGAAGTAAGTTTAGAAAAATTACTCGCAGATCTTAGTCTAAAAACAAAAAATTCTAATTACAATTATAATATTCAAGGCCAAGTTCATAGAGCATATTTACAAAAATATCCTTATTAGCTTCTAGAGTCTTGAATCATATTTTTCTATTTTATAAATTTGGACCAAAGTTAAAACAATTTAATCCAAATTAGTTTAATGAACATTAGTTCATTTATAAACCTATGAATATTTTAAATTTTTTTTATCATAGATTATTCTACGAGGTTTATATGTATCGTGTCTTCTTGTTTATCGTTAAGCCTGGCTCAAATAAATAACACACATATTACTATTCCTAAAGTTAACGATTTGATGCTCCACCGCATAGTCATAGAACTCAAAAGAAAAGAAAAAGAAAAATCTTTGTTATTCTCCTAACTTCTACAAACCTATGCCTTCCATGTATGAATTCTACATTCGTAAGATTTTACTCCCACAAACATATTCCTCTTGAAAAAATTGTTCTCCTTTGTGCAAGAAAATGTGTATATGTCTTTCTTAAACAACACAAAACCTTATTTAACAACAAAAGATTAATATGCATTTTACAAAATTCAAAAATCAAGGTAGAAAATTTTAATGAACAATGACGTCAACATTTATTCCACTACACAATCACAACTCTTAAAAACTACTATACAGAACAATCTGTGAAACAACACTTAACTGTCTAACCTCAACTTTTACAACAATTACACATAATGCTTGATCAAATTTTACAACAAATATTTCTGTCTCTCTCTATTCTTGTCATCTCATGTATAAATCCTCATTCTTTACAACAACATCAGCAAAAGAGTATGTGCAAAGCAATTTGAGAACCACCACCATAAAAGGTTCAGGAGCAACCAAAACATCTTCTTATTGACATAAGACTTGACTGTCGAGGTTCAGGCTCTGGCTCGAGTTTCTTCCGTGCAAGTTGCTTGAAGAACGCTCTCACAGCTCCTTCGACTCCGTCCTCGATCTCAAGAACCTTTGCAAGCTCAACAGCTCGCTCCTTCACCTGTAATGTCTCTTTCTTGAGTCTTTGATAGATTCTACCATCAACCAAATTATCACATGTTCTTTTGAAACAAAGTATTAAGATTTACGAAGTGTCCATGAAAAGGTAGCAAATAAACTTTAGATCTAAAAGGAATCAAATTCCACCTGTAAGCTAAAAGAACAAAATCCACTTCTTCTGTACCCTCCATTATTCAAAACCCAAACAATTTTCCCTCAAATTCCTTCCCGATTTAGAGCAGTTCAATTGTAATTTTTATCTCAATTGAGTATAATAAAGTTAAATGTAGTAAAATTGCATTGATCTTATTTTCACTACTCTTACGTTTTGATCTTAGTTTCAATTAAGGGGACTTGTCAAATTCTACGTGATTGAAATTCTTAAAATGAATAAATCACCAATGAACCCAAAAGCTTAAGCTAATAAGTTGGGTAAATTTAATTCATATACAGATATCTCAACTCCCCACTTGTGGGCTTGGAAATTTGCACAAATACCCAATAACTAGAAATGAATATAAATGGAGAGAAAATAACAACACAAGAGTCTGAACACAAGATCTCCTATTTTGATTCTATCTTGAACATGAATAAATCACCAATGAACCTAAAAGCTTAAGCTCGTGAGTTAAAGGTAAATTTAATTCATATATAGATATCTCAACAGAGATAAAATATCACGTTAGAGCTCATCTACCATATCCGTCATCTAAGCACGGATACGGACACGTTGGGGACATGTTAACTTAAATAAAATGAAATAAATAATATATGTGTATATAATGAGGTAGTAATATTTCCAAGTAAAAAAAAAAAAAAAAAAAAATTCTCAAATCTAGTTAGAGGGCAATCGAGGGTGGAGTGAGGCAAAGCAAAGGTAGAGAGAGACAAAGAGCAATCAGGCAAGGAGAGGAGAAACTCTCCTTCGTTATTGTTTGGGTTTTTTTTTTTAAGTTGTAACTTTTTATTTATTTTTTTATTCGTAGTGGGTTTTTAAGTACTTAATGCGCTAGATTTTTGTTTTTCATTTGATTTTAGGTTTCTTTTGAACTCAAAAGAAAAAAGATTCTTTTAAGTGGGCGTATCCACTGCGTGTCCYCATGTGTCCGCTATTAAAAAAACAGACACGATATTTTGCATGTCAGAAACGTGTCCGAGCATGTCCGTGTCCAACACATGTCTGACACGAACACTTTGTCACTTCCTAGCCTGTGGTCCACAAATATCTTGTCATATTAAAAATTTATTACCTTTAAGAGACATTTGGCAAGTTTTGATCTAAAGATAGGCACCTTAATGCTTAATGAAACTTCTACATATATAGGAACCATAACGATGATAAAAAAGTAGGTTAAATTACAAATWTAGTTGCTATGATTTTAGCTAAATTTCAACTTAGTTCCTGTGATTTTAAAAGTTTTAATTTAATYCTATAATTAGAGATTAGTCTCACTTTGATCCCTGTAATTCAGTCAAACCTCACCAATCGTCCTTAGATAGTTTTTTACCCACATGAAAATCCACCCATTTCTCCTGTTTTTCACTCGGTCTAAAACCGTAATGCATTCAGCTAATGCAAATAGAAAATATGCTACGTAAATAGAAAATGACATGAATTCAATAAAGTAATTGTAACAAGGACCGTTTGTGAAGTTTGATCAAATTATATGGACTAAATTGAAACTTTTAAATTTATAGGGGCCAAAATGAAACTAGGCCCAAACAATAGAGATGTATTGAAACTTTTAAAACTATGGAGACTAAATTAAAATTTTTAAAGGGACCAAATCGAAACTTAGTCCAAACCTTTGRGATTAATGGAGTTAATTATATATTTTAAATGATGAATTCTATCAATCAAATTATTCTATGTTGTCTTGGTTTAACTGATTAAAAAATTAAACTCAGTTAACAAAATCAGTATAAACTGGACTCCATGGATCAAATTGGGATTATTGCTTAACAGAGAACATGAGAGTAGCTAATTAAAGAGAATACTATAGAAACCAGAATCTCAATCTAACCTTGGGATCAAGCATGTAGTTTATGGCATTCAATAATCTTGGAAGTGAGAACTCATCTATCGGGATGGGCGGAGGACCGACTCCTCGAGCATGTACTCGCTCCCCCCAGAAAGGTTGGTCACCAAAGAAAGGAACAACTGTAGTTGGGCACTATAGAATTCAATGAAAGTCAGAACACCAAACCAAATTGAAGAAGAAACACAAAACGATATTGACAGAAGTTCATACTGCAGCTTTTAGACCAGCAGCTGTTGTTCCAGCACCTCCATGATGCACCTGAGGAAAAAGCAGCAATCAAGTGAGGCTATAATTTTAACAAAGTGCTTTTAGATAGTTAAAAACACTTCCTAATTCCGGTGGCTACAACTTAGAAGCACTTAGAAGTGTTTTTCGAAGAAGAAATTGATAGTTAGTTTAAAGTTAAACATTTCATTCTCAATCTTACAACATACATTTTTTTCCTAATTACACTCTTCACGTACTTTCTTGCACTATCTTCTCTTTACACAAAATTTTTCTCACTAATCTATCCCTAGACATATTTTCTCTCACTAATTTCTTGTTACACACATTTCTTACACCAATTTCTCTACACAATTTATGCTTCTCTCAACGTATATACTTCCCTTACTCTCAATAATCTCTCTTCTACACACTAATTCACATTAGTCTCTCCATACACATGCTCTCTCCCACTTCATCCTTTTGTAATTCTAATGGTTTTCACTTCAATAAGTTTTTTGATAATTTGAATTATTTCTAGTTTAATGATTTGTCAATTCTCGAAATATAAGTAAATATTGATTCCTCAAAAAATATTTCTAATCAGATAAAAAAACTTKTGAAGTATTAAAACCATACAAAATATACGTTTAATAAGAAGCACTTTTTAATGATAATAGAATTGCTTTCCACCCGCAAAAAATGAGAACGTGTGCACAATCATCTGTAAGAGCTCCCTTCCAAGTTCCAGTTTAACCTTCAGAGATTTGAGTAGTCTCAATCCTAAAAAATTCTCAAGACTTAGGAGTTGTCATAATCCAAGTTGCTGCTTCAGAATAGTACTGTTGTCATTTGGTTTCTCTAGCCCACTAATAAATAGTTGCTCTTTATGCTTATTTGACTGTTTGTCATTACACGTAAAATTAAAAACAAGATATAGGCTGTTTCATCAAAACCCAAAAGAAGGCCATTGTTTTAGTCCACAACAGAGGAAAGAGGATTCAAGAACTTGATGAGCTCAACTGCCACTCGACCAACAATGAAATGAAAGAAAGAAAGATTATGTGCTTAAAGAAGACAAGATCTAGCCTGCAAATTGTATTCAAAGCAACAAAGAAAAAACCATTAAGCCTCACCACAGCCTTGCACTTGAAAAACAGCCAATCATGAGGGCAATTGTCCAACAAATATATGAAGTCCTTTGGTTCTGCAGCTGGGAAGGTATAAACTCAGTCATGTAAGCCACATTGCTTATTAAGCACGGCACTCGAGTCAGGAACCTATCCATAAAGAATGTGCATTGAACTGAAACTAAACACTTACACTTCCCAAGGCCACCCCACCCTTCGTTAATGATACCCCGCTGTCCGGTTCTTTCCAATGCTTGCATGATAATCTGTGTCATCTTTTCTGGCTCTTGTACAGGCTGAAAAACAAATGGAGAAAGAGAGCTTATATTTTAATTAAACCATCAACCTGATTTTCCAACTCCATGCTAGATACTTTTTTAGTGAGGTATTTACATAAATACCATAAATGTGTTTTTAAATTGAGCAGAAAGTTCAAAATTTTACAAAATTGGCATAATTCAAATCAAATTCAAACCAAATGTAAATTGTAAAACACTAAGAAAAGTCAAACTTATAAAAAGTTTATATAAAGTTTTTGTTATGGAGTGAAAATAATCTTCCTTATTTCTACTTCCCCAAAGTTTAACTTGCCTATCATTATTTAAACAGTGTCCCCATTATCTTGGTGTCTTATATTTCATAGTTTCATGAGTGCTTTAACCTTTTAGAATTACTATTTTAGTAACTATCAAACACTATAATATTAATTTATGTATGTTAACTTTTATTTCTCGATCTAATTACTAATTATTGTTGTTGGTCCAATGCCACCAACAAGTAAAGGACAAAGTGCACATTTTTTYCTTTTAATATTCATGAGTGTCCAGACTTGTTGCACCCCCTTCAACTAATCTATCGAAACAACTATGACTACATTTTAGACATTTTATTACTAAGAAAACTCGTAGGATTTTTAAATCCTAGATAGGTGACCACTATGGTTTGACCGATTCCCTTTAAACCTTTAAACCCCGATTGACCACTAGGCCAACTCAGGGTGTTTAGAACAAAGTGCACTATTTTACATTGGAAAACCTTTTTTAGTTTTGCATAATCAGACAATAAAAGTTTTAAATTAATAAGTTTTCAACTAGAGGGTTTGAACCTACCATGACACCTCTTGGGTACTTTTATATGCTTGGATGAACTTAGGCAATATCATGTATAACAATATAAACTTTTATGTACTTGAATAAACTTTTAAATTAGGCAAAATCACGTATAAAAATGTAAGCAGTTCATGTAATAGCATAACCACATCCAATCACATGACAATATCCATACTTGTGCACATTATATATGAAAATTATTAGGAAGAAGCAACAAACTTACAAGGCTGCCAAAACCAATATAAATAGGCTTGTCTCCAGCTTCAAGCCATTTCACAAGTGACTCAGGAGGTTCATAATTTGATGCAAGGTCAAGGAAGCAGTATCCAACAACATCAATCTTGGGCCCCCAATCTACAAATTAGGGGAAAAAAATTGAAAATCAACATCTAAAAAATAGCATTCTTAAGTAACAGACTTAGTTGCTCAAAATCTTTTTTTCTTCTCTCTTCTTTGAAGATACAAAATTTTACAAGGAAAGATGGTAGGGTAAAAAACAAGGAAGTGAGGTGAAATTAAAAGGATTACAATCAATAGCACGATAACCAACCCTCTGAAGATTTAGAAACAAATAAATTTTTGGAATTCCTTTTAACATAGGAACCCTTTTTGTCCATACTCTACACATCATCATGGTTCCTACTGTTCCTTTCCTTCCCAATGCTCCAAATGATGGTAAAAATCATGGTTGCACAACTGGTTAGCCATGGGGAGTAATAAACAGTAAGATAGTTAGCCCATTAGATAGTTGAAAGTTAGGAGCAAAGACAGTAACTCTATATGTAGCTGGAAGAAACTGTGGGCAGGGAAGTCATTTACATAGGAGAATTCCTAGCCTATTAAATGCTTGGAGAATAGTAACTCAATGCCACAATTGAACAAGAGTCAGTACACTCAGTTCCTTACTGAGATCTTCAAAGTTCACATCCAAAAAGAATTATCATCCTTCTATCTCTTTTCCGTTTTTTTTTAAYGATTTCTCATTGATAGATAAAGAGATAGAAAAATGTTCAAGCAAGCTACATAAACTGCATCATGATTCTAAACAATGGAAAATATCAACTCGAAAACTTTGTAAAAGGTCAAAAACTCGAAGCATTTTGCCTAGCAACTTTAAACAAGATCTCTCTTCCCATATTCATGTCTCAACCAAACACACTTCCGATTTATGATGGACCAACCAAAAGCACTCCAACCCATACAACTTTTCAAGTACTGCGTAAACATCTYAAGGAGCAAAAGACATTAAAGTGAGCAATGAACAAATTTTTGGTTCCCATCTATCAATCCTTATGATCGAAGGATACCCTGAAAAATTGCACTTTTGGGAGGAGATACGGTAACAAACTTGGGAAATGATAAAGACTTTAACAAACCAATGGATCCTGATTGATGCTTTAGGGCTTAATTTCAACTAAAGAAATGCCAATATCCTCAAGGCTCAAAGTATTTAAACAGAGCCAATCCAACAAAGTTTTCCTTCATACCAATTCAATATTAGAAAATAATTTAAATGAAGTTCACGGCAGAAAGAAATTTGTCTTGATTCATTTTGTCAAGGGATAAAATTTACACTGAACTTGAGGAGGTGAGTATTTCTTGTCAAACAACAACGAAAAACAACTCAAATGAGAGCTAAAAAACTGAAGATCAGTGTAAACCAAGGGAGGAAACATGTAATTTACCCAAAAAAAAATCCAGAAATGAAAAATGAAAACCTGTTCCTAATTCTAAAACAGTATAAAGCAAAGAAAAAGCGCAGTATGCTGTTGAAATATAAAGTCACCACCTCTTGGTTTAGGAACAAGGTACGGACTCCACAAATAAGCATGAGGCACATCAGATTCAGAGAATCGTGAACCACTTAAATACGTTACTGGCCGTATCTTCAGCTTCTTCTTCCTAAAATCATTAATAATATCCCGCACTCCGAGCCAAATCAAGGAGTCAACAATTTGATACGAAAGCTGAAGATAGAAGAGAACCAATATTTAATTCTCAGATATTACTTTTTCTGTATCTTGAAACACATATCTATAACGACCAAACAAAACCCGATCCATACTGGCCGTTAAAATATAGAATGAGCAGGTAGAATATTCAATTCTCTATCCTTGAGATTGTTGATACTATTTCAACTTAATAATTTATTCTTAAAGATGGGGGTTTCTTGATGAAAATAATTCAAAAGCAACCAACAGACTCACCCTATATCCTGCCTGTTGCTTGATACGGGATAATGGATGGGGAAATTCATTAGTTGGCCTGGAGGAGAATAGAACATAGGCAGTTCAATCACGTGGTACATAAAGGAATGCATACAACCATAAACATTAGAACAAGTCAAGCAGGTCAATGGTTCAGCCACAGTCCATTACCGAGACAAGACTTACGTCCATGGCATTGTAAAAAATATATGAAGTGGTAGCTTAAGTCCCTCTGCCACATGAGTGTGCCCTATAATAAAAGTTTAATATGTAGAGTAATGGTTAGGAATAAGCAGCAGATAAAAATTTTCAAATACAACATACTAAGTTGGAATATAAAGCCACTGTCACACCCCAAGAGGTAGCCAGCCTAACGATAAATGATAAAGGCTAGGACATTTGGTGATACCCTCTGAGGTCCATGATTCAAGCTTAAAGTCACTATCACATCATACCCAAAAGGGTGCCCCATGATAAAAGCAAGGGATTTTTGGAGCTACCCTCMAAGGTCCATGATTCAAGTTCCTATGTCAAAAACAACTTTAAAATGCTATTATCCCCCGAAGCTACCTTAGGTGGACAACCCAGGGTGAACCATGAGCATAATGCAAGGAGTGAGGTCTTTGATATCCCACTTAAAGAAACAAAAACAAAAACCAAAGCATAACATAAAGTCACTATCTTGACACCTACAACTGCCCATGTCTGACTAAATGAGAAAAGACCATTTTAGTTTCAAAAAGTATTGAGGAAGAGTACATTAATTATTTAACAACCACAGTTCCCATACATCAAGTGTTTTCCAAATGGAAAAGCACTTTGATACAGGTAAACAAAAAAGTAATAGCACATCCAGGTTTTCAGAGCTATCATAAACAGTGCTTTAGGATCAGTTCCTAAAAACCCGCCCTTGCTACAACTTAGATATCGGATATATTGGAACCAATAAACTGATAGAATCATGGTCACAAAATCTAACCATATGCTGTGCGGTTGGCAATAATTGCATCTGCYTTGAAGGGAATACCATTATCCATATCAGGTTCTTTGCAAGCTGGAAGCAAAGAGTAAATAATATCCTTCATTTGACTTCTTTGAATGGGTATCTCAGAAGGCCCAGAAGGCAAGAAGCCTTTATTTCTTACCATATCTATTTCACAAGAAGGAAGCGTTTAGAAAAAAACTGCATAAACAGCAAAATCTTAAATCTAAATTTTAATACTATACTTTTGGTTTTAATTTTATAATTGGCAGGTCTTTTGGAGCCATTCATGGATTTCTAGTACCTTTCAGAATAAACACTTTATAAGAAAATTTTACAATTTTTAAAGCACAGGGACTAAATTGTTGCATATTGAAGTTCAAATGTGTTTTTTAACCCTCAATGGGTATTCTACGTTGTACTAAAAAAAATGAAAAAATGTCACAAGTCCATGTTAGGGCAATCCATGATTTACAGCTCAAAGTTCCATTTATACCATTTACATCAAYGTTAAGGTCAACATAAATGTTAAGGATATTATATTATCAACTTAAACTTTTAAACTTTTTCGGTTTAGTGGTGATCTAACATGCCAACGTGGTATTGAAACAAGAAGTCATGTGCTCGAACTTTGACAATGTCATTTCCATCTTAATTAATATTGATAGTCACCTTGTTGAGCCTCGTGTTAATTTCTCAACCCACAAGTGAGGAGTGTTGAGAATATTAAAAATATATTAAATATACCATAACCTATCCACTTAATTTTTTTTAGTTTAGTGACGATTTAATATGGTATTACTGTCAGATATTATGCGTTCAAACTTTGGCATTATCATCTCCATCTAAAATAATATTGATAGTCATTTGTTGGACCTCGTACTCATTTCTAAGCCCATGGGTGAGGAGTGTTAAGAATATTGATAAAATATTAAATATAATGTAACCTACCAATTGCGTTTAGTGGTGATTTAACAATTTAAGTTTTAAAATCGAATAAATAAATTTAAAAAAAATCAAGAAATATTTAAATGAAATTGTTGAATTACTCAAATATCTTACCATTTTCAGATCGGCCAAACAATCACAAATCGAAACTACGATAGATTTGAGAAAGCAAATTATAAATAGAAATTCATGTGAGTTACACCAAATGAGTGGGCATACAACAAAGCAAATGGTGAGTCAAGTACGTACAAGCTGCAAGCAGTTTTGGATCTCCTCCTAAAGGATAAAATTCCAACCCGGCTGTCAAGACGAAGTCCTTGAAATTTGAATGAGTAGCCAATCTTACACGATGACCATAGTCCTGTATATATTGAAGTCAATGAGGAAACGATGATCATTTTAATTTAGCAGATACTGGAAAATTCTTATTATTATATTGTTTCATCATTTATAGTTCATACATCATAGTGTTCCTCTACAGCTTACCAGAGATCTAATGCTTCAAAATATACTGTCATTCTAATAGCTCAGACTTGAAACCTAACAGTTGTTGCCATAAAAAATTGGTGGTGGAACGTTTGAGAAAGCTATTGTGGATTTCATTTCCTAACTGTTTAATCGTATTCTAGTTCTAAGCAAGCAAAGGGACGTTTATTGCAAGGCAGAACTTTCACTATTGCATGCAAGGAGCAATTCCATTTCTCAAAGCAGAGATAACATCCTTCACTGCCACACGATGAGACATTAATTTGTAGAAGAAGGGTAAAAACATTTACACCAACCAAGAGCCTTTACAAAAATTGATTCTATGAAGGAATCATAAGAGAGGTGTTTGTTGTTGAAGAGTCTATTGTTCATTTTCATCCATATTGTCCATAGGAAGGCTTTGACGATATGAGCCCAGAGGATGCTCTTCTTTCTGAACGGGTGGCCATCAAGAAAGGCATGGAGGAGAAAGATCAGATTCTCGTGAATAGGGGTCTGCCAGCCAAAAGAGTGAAGAATCGTGGTCCAAAATCTGGTAGCAAGCTGCAGGAGATGAAAAGATGATTCTGGTTTTGTGCTTCCTTCATGCACATAAAACAGCAGCTTCGAGAGATGGCTAGATTGGGGAGTCCTTTTTGAAGGATATCCTGGGCATTGATGGAAGCATGACTAAGTTCCCAGCAAAAGAATTTGATTTTTTTTTGGTTTTTTTTTTCCAAATTATTTTGTAGAGGGTTTCCTCTTGATGATTTGGAGAAGACAAATCTATCACCAATGATTTGACAAAAAAGTTCTTTGAAGGATCACATCTCCAAAACCATTTGTCTTCTGTCAGTGTGGGCTAGGCTGGAAATTGAAGAGGAAAGGGCTCTCCATTCCTCAAAGTCTTGTTACAGAGGGAAGCCATTCCCTTTTTCGTTTGCGATACAATATATTAGTCATAGTTAGTGTTTAATTAGTTAGTTGGCCAAGTGGCAGGTCCTATAGAAAAGGTGCTGTGCTTTTGTAAACACCTTGTTCTTCTATTAAATAATTTGTTKCTATTATTAGAGCCAGCCTAGAGGATTCCAATTCCTCCAATTCCAATTCTAATCTTCTTCAATAGGAAATGAAGATGGAAGATATGCATAAATGAAAAAACTAGTACTCAGAATACCTACTATTAAGTATTAATAATATCAATCACAACAAAAGGCAATCTGAGACATCTAAAGAAAATGAAATGCATAGGAATTAAACATTGCAAAAAGTATGATTACCTGCAATCGTTTTCCAAATGGAATAAACGGCTGCACATCTCCACGGGTTCCAACAATAAGTATTACTATTTGCATAGGCCGTATATAGTGAAAATCGGCTAAATCAAGGGGTTCATCATCAGCATTACTGAAAATTTCTTCAGATTCAGCACTAATAGATTGAGATTCAATATGTCCTGGAACTTCAAACTCGACAGTTCCATCATCTTTCACGGTAGTTACTCTGTGCAGCAATTTCAACTGCAAAATTCATTTAAAAAGAAGGTACATCCTAGATTCAATATCATGAGGGGGGAAAAGTAACTTGCATCCGATTTCTAATCTAAAACAATTAGTCCACCATTTTTCAGACAGAACCACTCAAATAGTTTCAGTATTAGAATGTTCCAACAATATAAAAGTCAATTGCAATAAGAAAACATGCACCCTCAAATTTATTTCAGGGAAAARAAAGTTAKAATTAAAATAAAAAAGAGAGAGAGAGAGGACAGAGAAGTTGACAGAGACCGGAAAGATAAAATGGGAGACTAACTCTAGTTAGGTCTCCCTTTTGATTTATCAATAAAAAGTTCGTAAATTGTAAACAAAAATTATATTATAAGAAAACTCTAATTAAGTCTCTTTCGAGTGGTATGGTATTCCATCGTATTTCTTATCTATTTCCAAAGTTCCTAGTTCTGTGAGCAAGAATTTAGAAAAGATTACGAGAAACTTTTGGTGGGAATGGACTGAGGAGGGTGGAAGGTCACGTTAAACTAATTGAAACTTTGTGTCAAAGCCTTGCGAAGAGGGACTTTGGAGATTGCAAATTTGATCCTAAAAAATGTTGCTCTTAATCTAAAAGGTAATGACAGTTTCCCTTGAAGCATAGACCTCTACGGCCCTCATTGACGGCAATAATGAGATTTACTCTAATGGTTGTAGTCTAATCATCTAATACACTCAGTTCAAATGCAACTTTAAGCCCAAATTGATGCCGAGACAAGCCTAAGAGTTGAATTTTGTGATAGGCAGCAGGCTGCGGGGCGCATGGGAGGTTGGTGTCACTAGCAAAGACATGATATAGAGCCAAGACCTAAGAAGATAAATGTGCTTCTATGTAAAATATATGTTGGGATACAAATGAAAATTCCACTGTAAGGACTAAMTTAGTCTGTGCCAAGTTGAGGGAGCTTTGACTAGAGAAAATAGAAGAATGTTTGATCATGCCCGTAGGAATTTTTCCAGTCCAAGAAGACTAATTTTTAGGTGTTCTTTGTAAAAAGAGTTCAGTGGCTATTTTCCTTTTTGGATGCATACCAATTGAGGAGCCTTTTATGTAATATTCTTTGATTATAGTGAGGGAGCCTCATCTTCTTCTTTTTTGTACTTTTTTTATTTGTTCCCTTTATTTTCTCTTCTTTTTTTATTTTATTTTATTTTTTGACATCTCTTTATTATCTCTTATTAAAACATATCAACGGAATTGTATGCTCTCGAATACCTTCTGATCAATAGAAATTTCATTATCAAATATTTGAGCTGCATCTGCAGCAAGTATGCTTTCATGCCTCTGCTTCTCAGTTATTGATCTTTTAAGCTGGTGCTGACATGAGACCGGGTCCAAGGTGTCTGAATTTATCTCCACCGGGAGATTGAAAGCTTTCATAAAAGTCCGACCAGAAACACCTGAAAAGAACGAACCAGTAATTAATTGACCAAAAAGGAAGCAAGTTTGCAAAATTAAGTTCCAATTCTTATCGGGCCGTGGACATAAAAAGAAAAAAAAAACAGAATCAACAAATTTAACAGCATAACAACTAGATAATAAGAATTGTGGTCTAAACACTATGCCTAGCATTTCAACAAATCTAAAATAATTTCATATGACTTAGAACACAAGGACACAGTTGTACAACTTTAGAACAGATCCTGTTCATCAAGTAAGATAAGATAGGAATTGGTCCAGTAGTGATAGGAATGAATTCAAACTCTATAGCAACTTACTCCCACAAGTTTCTTCCCCAACGAAATGTTTGTAAGATAAGATTAGTCAACCAAACAATATAATTATCGATATGAATGAGGAGATTAATAAACAAACTCGAGGAAGATAGAGCCTAGACTACCCAAAAACACTGATTAAAAAGGAAAAACCGCAACTCAGCAGAAAAGCAAAGTCAAAACTCTTCGTATGGAAAAAACAATGGAAGTAATTTCCTTCAACTGCAAGTTTCTATTTTTATACAATCATGCAGGAGACCGATTTAGAAAGTGGGTGATATGATATATCCGAAAAACCTGGAGGGTTGGTTTTATGATCATCTTGGGAAGAAAACCCGCGAGCGATGTCCCTTCCGGTCGCCATTTTCTTGCGTGTCGCTGTCTCCGAAGTCCAAATGATGATGATTAAAGGTGGGATAGARAGTTGTAGGCAATAAGAAATTTGGGATCATTTTGATTTTGGCGAATGGGAGACGCAATAGATATATTCGATTCCAACGCGGTTGCGGTTGCGGTTGGTTTATGGCGCAAGCACAAATTTACCAAACAGAGCCTCTTTGAAATTTGAACAAAATGGTTCTCAAAATCACAGCAAATTGACGATAATTTAATTTTTCCATTTTGTCGTTTTCAAATTTATTAAAAAACTTAACAGACACGTTTCATAACCATTTTGGTTTTTGGTGTTTTTTRTTTTTTATTTTGGTTTTCTGTTTTTAAAAAACAAAAAATCAAAACCATTTTTAGTTTTTTGTTTTTAAAAAGTTAGAAAATTCAAAATATTTATTAGAGAGAGAAAATTTTATATAGAGTAGTGATGGTGTGGGTGCAAATGAGGATGCTCTCCCCAGCTCGTGAAAATTTTTAGTCTCCATCTCCACCTCGTTCTTGGGTCCGAGAGKAAAAATGGAATTATTTTTAATCATTTTATAATTTAAATATAAACAAGGGTAATAAATATATATTAATTATTTGAAAAATGGAATGGGGGACGTCGGAACGTGCATTTTTTATTTTTGGGACCCAACTCTGCGGAAATCTTTGTCTTTCCCCTGATGTAGAAACATGAAAATAGAGATGTAAATAAACTTTTGAAAGATAAATTTTAGTGAGATAAATAAAAATATTTAGAAAAAAATAGGTTGAGAAAAATTAAAGACAAAAACAGAAAAAWTTTGGAGAAAAAAATAAAGTCGAGAGGAAAAAATATGTTAAAGAAAGAAAAAGAAATTATAAAGAAAGAGAAAAATTATACTGGAAGAGATAAAAACAATATTCAAAATATAATTTTATATAAAAAAAACAAATTGAACGAGAAAATAAAATATAATTTTTAGAAAAAAATTAGATTACGAAGAGACAGAAAAGTTATAAAATATAAAATTTTCGAGATAAAAAGGTTAAGAAGAATATTAATTTTTTAGTGAGAGAAATGAAACTAGTCTGTTAGAAAAAAATACAGAAAATGTTGGAGAGAGACAAATAACAATAAATATTCAAAATATGAAAATTTTAAAGAAAAAAAATAGAGAGAAATTTAGAAATATTTTTAGTGAAAAATAAATTTTTTAGGGATAAATACCAGAAAAAAAAAATTTGAGTATTAAAAAAAGAAATGAGCTTTTGAAAACAAAAACCTGTTACTACTACTTTTTTTTTTAAGTTACATAGAATTTCAAAATGGTTTTTGAAAAACAAAAAATAGTTATCAAACAATTATGTTTTTAGTCYAAAAACAAAAAACGAAATGGTTATCCAATTGACCAAATTTTTTTTGTTTTCATATTTTTTTTTAGAACCATTCCTAAATTTATATTAAAATTTAGAAAACAATCCAATCAAATTTTTCTTATTATCTTTTTTAATTTGTACCAAAATATAAATGTGTAAACTGAAAAATGATGTATAGATGGAGATATGCAATTTTAAAAAAAAAATTTATTAAAAAGAAGAAACAATAAACAAKAAACGACCAGAACATTATCAAGCCAGCTGTCTGCTACTTGTTTCTTGTTCCTATTTTTTTAATATCAAGTTCGCATTCGATTAAGGTTAGTTTTAAATTAAATTTCAAAAAGATTTTTAATTAGARCTAGATTTTGATTTTTGAATTAACTATTAAACTTTCGAATGAAATTTCCTAAAGTCGATAGGATTTTTTTAGCTCTATATAAAAGTTCACACCAATGGAGCGGGTGGAGAAATTTTTCTCACTTTCCCTCTCCTCTCCCTCCTCCAGCCGCCGACTTCTTCCTCTTCATCTCCTTCCCTCTCTAAGGTCGGTCTTTCTTTCCCTTCTTCTCTTTCTTGGCTCTCCGGCGACTGCAGAATCCGGCGGCGGCTCGACTAGGTAACCCACGAGCTGATAATTATTTTTGGATGTGAATTTTGAAGATCTCAGTAAGGAACTGATTCTGTTCAATTGTGGCATTGCGTTACTATTCTCCAAGCATTTACTAATCTCTTCCAGCTACATATAGACTTCCTACTAACTAATGGACTAACCATCTTACTGTGTATTGAATCCTAYGGCTAACTAGCTGTGCAACTATGATTTTTACTATCATTTGGAGTATTGGGAAGGGAAGCAATAATATAAACTATGATGATGGGTAGAGTATGGACAAAAGGGGTTGCTATGTTAAAAGGAATTCCAAAAATTACTTTGTTTTTGTATCTTTCAGAGGGTTGGTTATCATGCTATTGATTGTAATCCTTTTAATTTCACCTCTCGTTTTTGTTTTTTTCCCTACCATTTTTCCTTGTAATTTTGTATCTTCAAAGAAGAAGAGAGAGTAAAAAGAAGATTTTGAGCAACTAAGTCTGTTAGTTAAGAATGCCATTTTTAGATGTTGATTTTCAATTCTTTTCCCCTAATTTGTAGATTGGGGGCCCAAGATTGATGTTGTTGGATATTTATTCCTTGACCTTGCATCAAATTACGAACCTCCTGAGTCACTTGTGAATGGCTTGAAGCTGGGGACAAGCCTATTTATATTGGTTTTGGTTGGCAGCCTTGTAAGTTTGTTGCCTCTTCCTAATAATTTTTGTATATAATGTGCACAAGTATGGATATTGTCATGTGATTGGATGTGGTTATGCTATTACATGAACTGCTTACATTTATATACATGATATTGCCTAAGTTAAAAGTTTATCCAAGTATATAAAATTTTATATTGTTRTACATGATATTGCCTAAGTTTATCCAAGCATATAAAAGTACCCAAAAGGTGGCATGGTAGGTTCRAATCTTCAAGTAGAAGACTTACTAATTTAAACTTTTAAGTCTCATTATGAAAAATTGAAAAATGTGTTCCAATGTATAATAGTGCACTTTGTTCTAAACACCCTGAGTTGGCCTATTAGTCAATCGGGACAAGTGAAAAAGTAAAAGGGTTAAAGGGAATGGCTCAAACCTAGTGGTCACCTACCCTAAGATTTATAATCCCACGAGCTTTCTTGGCCACCAAATATAGTAGGGACAAACAGTTGGTTCGTGAGATTAGTTAGGAATGCACTCACCCTACACACTCATGAACATTAAAAGAAAAAAATATGTGTACGTTGTCCTTCCACTTGTTGGGGGCATTGAACCAACAAGGCAACAACAATAATTAGTAATTAGATCAATAACTAAAAGTAATCAACGTAAATAAATTAACAGTGTTTGATAGTCTACTAATTACTAAAGCACTCATGAAACTATGAAATATAAGATATCAAGATAATATTATTACATAATGGTATGCAAATTAAACTCCAGTGGAACTAGAAATAAGTAAGAGTAATTTCACTCCATAACATAAAATTAACACGACACTACTGTCAATAAACAGGATGTGTATACTGTAATTGAGATCCTTCTATTTTTGGTGCAGAGAGTGAATCTAAAACCCTAACAAGACGCTCAGAGGTTACGYGCCAGTTTTACATAATCTGTTCAGTTTTGTTCACTGCCACAAATATTCAAACGAAACTGAAACTTAAACCTTATCTCTAGCGAGAATGGTGCTAGTGGTCGCTTCGTCCTCTATTGATTCTGGAATTGGTTGCTGGGACCTCCACACGGGTGCGGAACAACTAAGATACAAGTCTTGTGCTTCTCCTTCTCATGGTCTTATATGTGTTGGTCAACAGTTTCTCGCATGCTCTCAGCTCCGTGATCCCGCTGCCACAGCAGGCTCCATTCTCTACTGGTCTTGGTTTAAGGTACTTGTTATTGCAAGTGTAATAAGATAAATTCTCTTTGCCAATCGTGTGCTTGATTAATTTTCCTCTGCAGCCTCAAGTAGAAGTTAAGAGCTTTCCGGCTGAAGCAATAATGCCATTAGCTGCCAACAATGAGGGTACCTATATAGTTGGTGGYGGTTTCTCTGGAGATATTTACTTGTGGGAGGTATAGTTTGATTTATTTTTAAAAAATTTAAAATATTATATACTTTGGTATTGAATTCTAAAATTCATCAACTATGTAAAACTCTACTAGTCTTCCCATTATTTGAGTTCCACATTCTTCTCTGTGTTTCTATTTGGCATGCTCATTGCTCTGCAGGTTTTGAGCGGTAGACTGCTTAAGAAATGGCATGGTCATTATAGGGCAGTTACTTGCGTAGTATTCTCTGAAGACGATTCCCTATTAATTTCCGGTTCTGAAGATGGCTGTGTTAGAGTTTGGTCCCTTCTAACGTAAAAAATTTCATCCTTCACTTTGTTTAGAGTTTATTGTCATTAATTGGAATTATTCTTACGACCGTGTGTATAACAGGGTATTTGATGATGGGTGGCAAAGGGAAGCAAAACATTTATATGAACATAGTTTCACTGGGCACAATCTACCTATTACTGATATTGTTGTAGGTTATGGAGGATCCAACTCTATTATAATCTCTTCCTCCGTTGACCGGACTTGTAAGGTTTGGCACTCTAAAGAATTTCTATGTTCATAAATATAATTTTATGAGGATATGGCTGTGTAATTGGCTATTGAAACCGTAGTTGAGGGTGTTTTAGGACGCAGTTAAGTTTCAATTCTAAATATTCAAGGAATGTTTTGAATTGTTTATCTTTTATCACTAACGAGTGATGACTACTTTCCTGCCCATATTTTTGTTATTTATAATTTCGTTTCGGTAAACCATATATGTTTAGTATTCTATGTTATATGTTAACTTGGATTTTCTAGGTGTGGAGCTTATCTAAGGGAAAATTGTTAAGAAATATCATATTTCCTTCAATCGTCGATGCAATTGCTCTGGATCCTGGCGAACATGTATTCTATGGTGGTGGTAGAGATGGGAAGATATACACTGCTGCGCTCAATGCTAAAAGCCCATCTAGTAGTGATTATGGATTGCACATTCTCGGCTCATTATCAAATCAGAGGTCTGTATCTGTGAAAAGCTTTTTATTGTGTAAACCATTATCTTGTCAAGTTTCATTATTATATCTCACACTTGTCGAGAAGGTTAAGCCGTCCTCAAAATTTTGAGCACTTTCCAATTTTTAGAATATTATTTGTGCTCTGTGCAATTCAAAATTCAATGGGTTTCCTTACTTTAGATAAAACCGAACATGTATAATATGTTTTCCAGTGTGTACAGCAGGATATTATTTGTATTTTTTGTTTTGTCCGGCCTCTAACTTGTTCTACTTGTGTATTTTGAGTAGCAAGTCTGTTACTTCTTTGGCTTACTGTGCAAGTGGAAATTTGTTGATATCTGGATCTGAGGATGGAGCAATTAAAGTTTGGGATACCAGGACCAACAATATCATTCGTGTTCTTAAACATTCAAAAGGTTCCAACTTCCAACTCATCCAAATGTTCATTTCATGCATAAATATCTATTTTGTGGCACTATAAATCAATCCTGTATTAGCTTTTGCTTGATATTGTGCAGGTCCTGTAAATAATATAATTATCGTACGACAACGGGTCATCCCTAAACCGCTGATAAATTCTAGTTCCCAAGGTTCATTGAGAAAGCATCGTTCACTAGTACCTCCTCCCCTTGCAAAATTCGAAAATTCGAAGGACGAGGATGAAGACACTGGCATTGTCATTGGTGTATCGGGAGAATTTATGGGGTTTTCTTCCCCCCTTACTTGTGACGTGATGGAGAACCAAATCGCACAACTTCAGGTGCTTGGCCTCCCTCGGGACTCCATTTTTTGTGGCTAACGAAACTTCATCTCTAAAACTTGTATTGACATGCTGTTTTGTTTGTGAACCTACTTCAGAAACAGGGTTGTGCTGCGACAGGAATGGAGTTGGAACGAGTGAAGCGTGACTATGGAAGATCCATGCAAATGCTACAGCAGTGGAGAAAAATGTACGACAATTTACATGAATTTTGTGTAAATGAGCTTGTGGATGGCGATCAAAATACACGGGGAGGCGAGGTTTAAGTTTTTGCCCGTGTTAGTTTTTTAGATAATTGGTAGTCGGAGTTCTGTTCCCCTATAAGGTTCGGACTTGGAAGACATGRGAGTTTTTGATATTAAGCTTATCGGAAGGTTTGAACTTGAGATTTTTAAGTTGGTATGATYAAGAGACTCCAAATCCTTGTCAATCAAACTGCTYTTTTGGGACGTTTTTGCATGTGTTATTCTATTTTATTTTTTTAGGAATTTTGTTTTGTCTCATCTTGGGTCAGGCTAGAAATTGTAAACTTATACGGACCATGTCACCAAGTCGGAAGTGACAGTGTAGGGGATGTGTATATATAATTTTATTTTCTTTCTTTTTTGGYSCAAAGCTGGCTTTTGACTGCCTTACACTTATTACGGATTTTTATGTCTGGAAAAAATTGAAAACAAGAAATAATAAACTTGGTTTTATTTTTAAATCACAAAAATGACGTATTTCAACTCATCAAATGAATTCACAAAATATGTCAAAAACAATGGTATTTAAATCACTTTTACAAAATCGGATGTAGTTAATTTTTAGTTATTTATTATTTTTCAAAATCATTCCTCCTACCGTCACTCTCAAACGTATCTTAAGAATTTATAGATATATTAAATAAGGATATGTTTGAGGGGATTAACTACTCAGATATTATATTCATACTAACTTATTAAAATTATAATTCAACTAACATAAATAGATGTAAACGACTAAAATAAAATTAAGCTAAAATTGTGTAAAATTTTATCATGGATTGTAAATAAACTTTTATTTCAATAAATCTAATCCATTTTTTTATCAATTACAATATAAATTTTTTTTTGCGACTCAAGTATAATTTCTTTCTAGAATTGAAAAAAGAAAGTAAAAGAAGATATGGATCTCTAGAAATACTATTATTCTACAATTTAAAAATAAATAATTAAAAGAATTCAAACTAACTCAAACAAAATATATACATACCACTTGAAATTGGTCAAATTTACCCCTAAAAATAATTTAAATAGAATGAAATGTTGGTGGCGGTGTGTCCCACTCCATCCATTAATGCTTCATAACATTAGTTAATTACCAGAATAATTTTTAAATAATAGTACAAATATTTGGTAAAAATTCGCCCTAGGATATTTATTACCATTTCCSACCCTACAATTCTTGAACTTAAACAAAAAAAAAAAAAAGGAAAAGTAAAGACTATTGAGCAAAACATGTGAAGTTATAAGTAATATTTTGCCAAAATATATCAAATTGTCTCTAATATTTTAAGTAATTCTCAATTGAATCCTTAATTTTTTTAAAATTATACTCTTAATGTATTAAAAATTCTCAATAAAATTCTCAAGAATATTTGTCTTTCATTAAAAAAACGCTTAGGTATAATTTTATTATTTTAGTTATATATTTGGACACGTGGAATGCCATTTGAACATGTCACTTGAAGAAATAAATTTTTATTGATAAGTGAGTTGAATTTATTAATTWATTTATCATTATTATTATYGATGAGAATTGGATTTCATGTGACGGGTAGCATAAAGGTTATATGTCTACACGTTCAAATATGTTAATAAAGTAATAATTCAATAATACATCATCAAAGATAAAATTGAGAATTTTAGAAGATGAAGGATAAAATGGTGAGATTTAGGTACATAACTATTATCTGTTATCATTTAATATAATTTAACATGATTTCTTTAAGCGAACATAGCTAAATGATAATTGTCATATATGTCCAACCAGTGGGTCATCCTTCTCCTTCTAATAGCAGGTACCATCTCAACGTCACTTTAAAAAATTTGAGAGACGATCTCATTCAAACGTAATGTCACTTTCATTTCCACCTATTAAAACAAAATAAATTATCTTTTAAAAATATAATTATTTAATAACCGATTAATTATCTTTTGTAGTTTTTAGATTTTGAAAAATGTTTTTAAAATTGTAAGTTTTAAAAAAACAGTTTTTTCATCAATAATATTTATTTCCGGACATATGAGATTCCAGGTTAAGATCGTGATGAACTCTGATACCATATTAATATTCGTGGGGCTCATCTCAAAACCAATTGGTAATGAGAGAAATAGTCCACTTACATTATAAACCATTATTAGGTCTCTTATTTTTTCAATGTGGGATCCTTAACATGAGAATAAAGTCTTAGCATCAACTTGTTCCTCAAAATTCAATCTTTTTTTAATTATAATATATCTACGGCCATTTCGATAAACTGGAGCGCTTTTCTATAATTTTGATGTAGTCTCCTTCTTTTGTATGTTCCTCACGTAACTTCTSARTGWAATGGTTTTTCYTTTAAAAAAAAAATTCTTCTAGCAGAAAAAAAAGTGAAGGAAGATAGGAATCTAAAAATACTATTATTCTACAATTTAAAACTAAATAATTCAAGAATTCAAAATATATTATATGATAAGTCTATTACATACCAGTTGAAATTGGTCAAATTTACCCCAAAAATAATTTAAATAAAATGAAATGTTTGTTAACGTCTCACTCCATCCATTAATGTTTCATGACATTATTTATAAGAATAATTTAAAAATAATAGTTCAAATATTTAGTAAGAATTCGCTCGCGTAGTTGATTTATTGAATAAGATACTTATTATTATTCTTCTTTCCCACGTAATTCGGAAAAAATAAAGAAAAAGTAAGGATTGTTAAGATTTTAATCACGACTTATTTAGAACTATTTTTTTCCCTTTCCGTACAACTATTTAGATCTATCCTATATGCTATATTATGGAAAAAAGAAAAAAAAAGTGCATGTGACATAATATATTATATATATATATATATATATATTTTGTTGGATTGCAATTAATTAGGAAGGGTTTTCTATGAAAGAGACTTAAATTTAACAATAACCTAAATTAAATTTATTTATAGTTGCTCACGTTTCTTTTGGACTTTAGTGATCTTAATTATGTTGCTCAAACTCATGAAAAAATAATTTTAGAAAAATTATACAAACAAGGTTATATTTTATTAAAAAGAAAAAAAATTTGAACTCAATTTCTAAATCATTCCACAAAACTCTTAACTTTAAACCAAATATAAGTAGGATTAAATTTCAAATTTACTTCTTTATGTTACATAATTATTTTTAACCCGATCCCTTAAATTTTTTATTCTCGTTTATATATTTTTTTTATGAAAATTTATTTTGCCCCTATTGCTTGTGTAAATTATTGTATAGCAATCGTTGTAGCCTAGTAATTTTTGTTTTAATAAATTTCGTTCACTTTCTCATTAATTGATCATTCGTCGTCTACTTAACTCAACATGTGAAGTTATTAGTAATATTTTGACAAAATATACCAAATTGTCTCTCATCTTTAAATTTCTCAAGAATATTTGTTATTTGTTAATAAGAAGCTCAGGTGTGATTTTATTGTTTATTAATATATTTAGACACGTGGAATACCACTTGAAGAAATGAATTTTATTGATAAATGGTAGAATATATTTATTTATTTTTTATGAGAATTAAATTTCATGTGTCGAGTAGCATATGAGTTTATACGTCTACGTGTTCAAATATGTTAATAAAGTATAATTCAATAATACATCTTAAGAAAGGTTAACATTTTTTTTAAACAGAAGAACTTAATTGACAATTTTCAACACATTAAAGATAAAATAAAAAATTGTGAGATTTAAGTAGGTAACTGTTACCATTTAATATAATTTAACCTGATTTCTTTTATAAGAAATTTAAATTAGGCTTTATTTTTTTTCGGAAAGAGTTATTTAAATTATTTGATTGAATGTTTGTTGTAGATGTAGTTGGATTGCAATTAATTAGAAATTGGGCCTTACATGAAACTCTAAAACGTGCTGAAATTACTTAATAGCAGTTGAACTCAAAAAAGAAAGAAAGCAAACCTTTAAAATAAAAGCTTGGAAATTAGAAGAGAATATATATTTATTTAGTTTTTACTTTTAGGTTAATTTTTTTTAATAATTTATTAGACCAAGTAAAGACAATAATGAACTCAACTAACTCAACTATAAAGTCAAATTGATAGAAAAATGTAATTCAATTAGTAACAAGTACTGGCTTATATAACTCCTCTCGTCTTAATTAGGATCATTTCTCTTGTATTATTATTTTTTAAAGTTCTCTCCTTCCTACCTACTTTCTATAGCCTCTTTTAATTTGGGACTCTCTATATTTAAGGTTATTTAATTATGGGTCATCTTTAGATACCGACAACGGCGATCAATTTTGTTTCTGCCTATTAAATTTTTTTTTTATCTTTTTAAAAATATGATTATTTGATAACTAATTAATTACCTTTTGTAGTTTTTAGATTTTGAAAAATGTTTTTGAAATTGTAAGTTTTAAAAATAAAAAAGCTAATTTTTAAAAACAGTTTTTGCAATTCAAAATCTCACATGAACTCACATCTCATCTCCTCTCTAATTAATATATCTTGCCTTTCTAAAGGACAATAACCCTTCTTTGCCCATTATAGATTAAAAAAATATAAAAGATAAGATTTAAAAAAAAAAAAATTCTCTAACTTATCCACTCAAATTCAAAAATTTTAGATTATATATAGAAAAAGATAATATAAAAATTTTGCCCCTTGAAGCTCTTTTAACCGAGCCTTCCTCTCAAATTTATCATCCTCTCACTAATATGTTATCTTTCTCTTATTTCTCACTCTAAATTTTGTTATATGTATGACTTCTATCTTCTCCCTCATTTATATTTTCTTCTCTAACTTTCATTCTGGAAAAAATTATTTCTTTAAAATTTATCTCTCTCCCCCCATATATATCTAGTCCTTCATAGGCCATTATCGATTTAACCGACCTAGTACAGTTGGCCGAGTTTAATAGGTCTGCCACCAAGTGTAATTTCTTACTTTTTCCATTTTTCAAAACCAAAAACAAAGAATTTCATTCATTAAAACCAAGTGGGTGGAAAGGACCAAAATAACCCCAACATCTCTGATCTCTAGCGACATTTTCATCCACGCATGCACATAAAATTATTGAATGCACCCTCACAACGTGATTACTTCCTAACAATCATTGGATGCAAATAAAAAAACCTTCATACTCCTCGATAAATCTACCAATGTAAAACTATCAGCTACATCGTGGCAACGAAGAATTACCGCAAAGGGCTAGCGTAGCTCCGTTGCCTCTATAAAAGGGGAACCCATACATCCAATTTCCTTCACACAAAAAGTTGTCAACCAGCTTAGGTCTTGTTGAATGTTGTTTCATTTTTTTGGTGGGATTGCATTACAAAAAATGGGTTCCAAAGAAATCCAATTTGCCAGTGATTACCTGATACTGAAGCCGGAGGAAGCAACTCTGCTGGATCTGTTTCTCTTCGTACTTCCTTTTGGTTTCAAAAATCTGAGGAAGTTGGTGGATTGTCCCCCCGAAAAAGAAGAGTCTTACAACTCCTTTGGAAACCGATGGATTATCTTCTTCTCCATTTTGTGGCAGAAAATCCTTCTCGCATTCTTAAATCAGCACAAAGGTATATTTTCATAACGAGGGTCGGGATAAAATTTTATGGAAAATACTTGGCTCCTTAATCTTTTCCTCACCATCTTTGACAACTATTTGACAACTAAGGGATAGAAATGAAAAAAATAGACTTAAAAGAAAAAAAAAAAACGAGTCTTTCTATGGTGGTGAAGACAAGATTTGATTCTTACTGATAAGGAGCCAAGTATTTTTCGAATTTTATTATACCCCTTTGGTAACATTAAAAAAACCTAAACATTTTGCAGTTAATTATATTTTTCTTATTTCTCATTTTTCGAAAACATCTTTAAAATTGTGTAGAAATTTTGAGAACGATCGGGCTCGTTTGGTAAGATTATCATTTCTTGTTTCTCGTTTTCAATTTTCTTAAAAAATCTAAACATTTTGCAACTAACTTTTTGTATAGAAATTTTGGAAACAACACAAACAAATTTTTTCTTTCTTGCTCTCATTTCTAAATTTGTTCATAAACATAAATAGAAAGGAAACATATTTTACCAAACAGACTCTAAGTTTCTTGTTTCTTGTTTTCGTCTTCAATTTGTTATAAAACATACATAATCATCTTTGAATTCATGAGTGTTGTGGCCTACAATTCTATTTTTATTGGTTAAAAATGAAGAAACAGAAATTAAAAAACGAAAACAGGTGTTTTAAGGACTGAGTTTTAGTTTTTAGTTAATTGAGTTTTGTTACGTGGGCATGCAGAAAAGCCAAAAACTGAGGATCCACCGACAGTGAACTGTAAAGATTGGAGTCTAAGTGGTCGGGATAAGAACATAAAATTAGACGACCCTTTCCAATATTATGCCATCCTCTCAGTCAGAGCTTCGGCTTTGGCGACCGAAGACTTTTCACCTCATCCTTCTGTGGTCGAGACCGTCGTCAATTCCTGCTGGAATGTAAATACAATATAATCCTTACCTCTCTCTCTTCATTTTTAATGATTTGGGTTACTAAAAAGATTCCTATAGATCGGTTAAGAGGTAAGAATTGTTAAGGTTTATGTGTTATTTAGCCGATTGATTATAATAACTAGGGGTATAAGCCTTTGGCTCGACTTAGTTTGGGAGTCAAATCGAAGCCGAACTGATAATAAACAACGTATTAACAAAAAAAATGAGTCGAATCGATAGTGATCAATATAAGATCGAGTCACGCTGAACTAACAAACCCGTCGGTTTATTGGTTTGGTCAGGCGGTTTGATTTCCACATGTCCTTGGATTTTAGGGTAGCAAACCTATTGCGTCGTACTACTTGGATCTACGGTTGGTTAGAAGAGATGGAGTGAATGGGAGGGAGGGAGGTGGGAGAGAGTCGGGAGGGATGGTTAGGAGAAAGATTCCTATTGATCGGTAAAGAAGCAAGTATAATAAGTTAATAACTCACTAGATAAAGACAGTTATTACTCCTCTTATTTCTTAATTGTTTAAAGAAAAATAAAATTGAGCTATATATGTTCGTACTAATATATCAGATTATTGTTATAAAGTAGTATAACAGATATAACTTCAATTATTATCCTCGTTGAATACTTGGGAATAGTGATGAGAACTAATGATCATGACGTTTTATTCTTTTCAATGCAGATGAAACTACTTGGATGCTACGATCTTTGGAATGGTAAGACTTTGGACTGTCACAGTCATAATAAATTTAATTAATTAATGGTCTTAAATTGATTTAACATAAATGAATGATTAATATTCTAAACATCCAATAACTTATTTTAAAATGAAATACCAATTAACTGTGACCATAATGAATCCATATTGCAAAAGACTGCCTATTAGTGGAGATGATTGTATGATTTGTGTAAGATACATAGTTTTTTTCTTTCCTTTTCTTTTATGCAACAAGTGAGGTGCGAAAAATGACAGGTCACGGTGACAATTATCGATAAACTAAGTTCATGTTTGTTGTTTTAAATTTGAACACGATGGTTTTCAGACTTCCAAGACATGGGTTCGACTCAAGTGTTTATGTTTCAGAATACTGCCACAGATCCAAACGTAACAGTGGTGGCATTTAGAGGCACCACTGACGTTTATGATATGAAGGTAGATTTGGACTTTTCCTGGTACGAGATTGCAAATGTGGGCAAAATCCACAGAGGGTTCATGGAAGCCCTTGGCCTGCAGAAGCAGCTAGGTTGGCCTAAGGAACTCGTAAAACCCGAGCACGATTATGCATATTACTTCCTCCGTCAACAACTCAGAGACATTGCCAAATCCAACGACAAGGCAAGGTTCATCATCACTGGCCATAGCTTGGGCGCAGCCCTCGCCACCCTGTTCGTCACCATCCTCGCCTTCCACGAGGAACTCGATTTGTTAGAGAAGTTAAAGGCTGTTTACACCTTTGGCCAACCCAGAGTCGGCGATGTCCAGTTTGTTCAGTTTATGGAAAACGTTAATTCAAAAGTACATAAATTCCCATATTACAGGTACGTTTACTCTATGGACGTGGTTCCCAGAATTCCTTTCGATGTCGAAGGTGATCAATGGTACAAACACTTTGGCGGATGTCTTTACTACGACTGCAACTACACTGGGGAGGTAATTATGAACCTTCGGCTGCAACCGCTCTTTTTCTCTCTTAATTAAATTATTATCCGAAGAGTATATTGGATTTGTAAAAAGAGTACAAACAAAGTTCTACATTGGTCAGGAGAGGGGACGTGGTCATGATATATAACAGAGGATAATTATCTTCATAGACATTTTAGGTGAAACCAAAAGTAAAATCGTAAGAATTATGCCCAAAGCAGACAATATCAATTAGTTTTTCAATAGAGGATGAGACGACTATTTTGTTACAATCATATTGAATAACTTCTCTTTTTTAGCTTTTTCGGGAGAGTAAACTAATGTTTTGGGTGCAATATACGCAGTTTCTGGAGGAGGAGCCAAACAAGAACTACTTGTCAATACCTTGGCTAATACCCAAATACTTGTACGCTTGGTGGGAGTTGCTAAGAAGTCTACTGCTCCCAGTAATCATGTGTAATCCGGATTACTTTGAGACTTCTCAGATTTTCTATGCCAGGGTTTTTGGGCTGTTTATTCCAGGAGCATCAGCTCACAACGTTGTGAACTATATTTACTCGGCCCGTTGGGGAAAAATAGTATGCAGAGACACCCAGAAAAAAGTAATTCCTGCAGACTATCTTGAACGCTGCTGATCGGTGCCCGAATATGAAGAAGAAGATAGAAGATATCATATATAATGAAAATACTTGGTCCCTCAACAGTAAGTAGCAATCTTGTCCTACCATATAAGAAAAAGAATACAAAAATTGAATGTCAATATTTTAATGGTGGTGAAGACAAGATTTTATCCTTGCCGTCTTAGGAACCAAGTATTTTAATTTCCTAATATGTTTGTAATGTGACTTTGCCTAAAATAAGTGTGTTTGTTTGTTAGTGTATTAAGTTTGTACGTATTTCTAAAAACTGCTCCTTTGGGTTTGGGTTTGTAGCTCATGAAATAAATAAACTCATGTGCCAATTCTACATGGCTCAGCTTTCTTAATCTTAATTAGTTTATGCAAATCTAACATACAAATCAATTCTATGGCTGTGATTTGATGTGTGAGTACTTTATGTCCTAAATAATTAAGTTCTGTTCTAATATATTGTTTTAATATTGCTACCTTTTAAACTAATTGAGGATTTTATTTTTGGGTACAAACTTTTTTAGATATGACACTGCTTGAACGAAAATAATTAATTTTTTTTTTTTGAAAAAAATTGAGGAAATGTTATTGGAAAGATATTACTAAGAGAGAGTGTTATGTATACCTAAAATTGAAACATATAACAGAAATTACCGTACCTAAAAAGAGATATTATGTAACTTGAATCATAGCTCATTGGGTTAAACCACCTATCTGCGACTATCGAATCTCTATCCTACTTATTATACTTATTATACTAAAAAAAGAAGAAAATATATATGAAAAGAAAACTAGCAAGAGGATTTGCATACATAATAGTAAATTATATATAGTGATAAGTTAGTAAAGTAGAGTGCGTATGAACACCTTGGATATAAGTGAGTCTAATCTTTGTGTCTTTTTCGAATCAAAACAAGGTTTAAGAACTTATCTTTCAAGCAATACGTCGTGTCATTAATAATAATAATAGAAAAATCTCGTATTATAGAATGTATTTGTCACAATATTAAAAAAGATTACCCCCATTAAATATATATTATCTATAAGTACTCTTGTTAAGGTATTTTTAATTAGTTCTAACTAACAACGAAATATTATTAATCTTTATATTCGTGAGTGTCTTGTCAACTCACGCGCACCTTGACTAATCTCACGAGACAACCACTTAATTCTATTACATTTTGTTTTTAAAAAACGTTGAGAGAAGTTGTCCCTCCCTCTTCTCCAAAGATGGTGCTCTTCCTTCGTTTTCACAAGGGCACCCCATGTATGTTAGTTATAGATCGAGGATAGTCGATAAGTTTGTAGGGAGTGCATAAGATCTATGTTACCTTTGTCATCCCAAAGGTAGAGTTTTCAATCCTCTTGTTCTGAAAACATTTTTTTTATATATATATTAAAAGTAGGCAATGGAAATTAACCTACTATAGTTTCCTACAGCGCAAGCTTCCACTACGCCTGGAAGGTAGATCCACTCCGATTTCTAACATTGCGTTGTTCATTCTATTAGAGTGTAATTGGGAAATATTTTTTCTTTGAACATTCTATTCCTACGAGTATAGGCGGTAACAAAATAACTTTAATAGAATTAACTTATTTGTCAACAACACTAAAGTTAAGCTTCTCGGTCCTTTAATCTCTCGTAGGCGTCAACACTAACTTAGTTAGTTTGCTCTTTCTTTAATTGCCTATCCATCTAAATATTTTAGGGATATAATGACAATCGTAAGTTTGTTTCACTATAAAGGGTTCAAGAAGTATTCTTTCGAGCATTCATTTATATATATAATTCATTCCCATTTATACATTTCCTTCCCTCACATTGTAACTAATTAATAATAAGATATTTCTAAGTTTGTGGTACATATTATTGCATGAAGAAGAAGAAAAAGACTCATGGTCTCTTGGTGGCGAGCAGTTGAGAATGCCGCCAATGGCCATTAGTTTTGCACCCATCATGCCAGGAAGATCAACAGTCATGAAGTTTTCAGTTCTTATTGAAATTGTCTCAATAGAACCTTGTTTAATGAACATGGTTCTCGAAGTTGCGATGATTGTACGAGGATAAGAGACGACGAGCAAAAAGAATATGAAGCAATATAGAGGACGTTGTGAAAGAGCCATTGATGAGGAAGGAAGTTGCAGAAATACGATCAATAATGTTGAAGCTATGTTTTAGAGGTCTTTGGTGTTGGAAGAATGATGTTTTGCAAATAGTTAAGGGTGGGAGTCTTAAATATGGTGGAAGAGAGAGACCATGCAATTGAGATGGTCCGATATTAAGGAAGTATTAACTCCATTGCCCTAACTTAAAATGTGTTTTATAACTCTATCCTTAAATTCTTTCACCATCTAACAAATTTTCAAACAAAATTGATATGAAATTACACAAATAACAATGTTTTTTTTTTTACATTTTCTAGAACAAATACACCACATTTTCTAGAACAAATAACAATTTTTGCACGTAAATTGTCGGTTTCTACAGCATCAGTTTTCGGCATCGGAATCAGCCAAAAACGATCCCGACCGACCAATACTCTGCCCTAATAATTGTGTGTAAAATTGGTAATACGTTGAATGAAGTTACTAAATGTGGTCAATTTGTTATAGAAAATGTAAAATTTGTTACCAAAAGGCTCTGTTTCTTCTTCTTCATGCAATGGTGGACTCTAAACTTAGAAATATTGATCAAAAACCTTGCTTGCTATTAAATACTGAGCAAAGGAGAAGTTTGCGAGGGAAAGAAAGTGTGTATATGGGAATGAATCATATAAATGAAATGCTCCAAAGAATGCTTCTTAAATACTTTATATTGAAACAAATGTATGATTGTTATCATACTTCAAAAATATTTAATTTTGATCGTGGTGTTGTTGTTCAAAAATAAATGAATTCAATTAAATAAAGTGATTTTGTTCTCACCTAAACTTCTAGGAATTGGATGTTCAAAGAAAAATATTTCCTTGTTACATTTTAATGAAATGAACAAGGTGCTAGAAATTTGAGTCAGTCTAGCCTTCTAGCACAGTCGAGCGCTCAGTTAAACGCTTATTTATTGCCTAGTTTTAATATGAAATGAATGTTTTCGAAAACTTAGAGATGCACCCTACAGGAACTTCTTGACTATTCTCGATCTACAAACACCAAACGTGTGGGTGCCCCTTGGAAAAATAAAGAAAGAACACCTTCTTTGTTTAATTGGCGAGCAACTTGGGAGGGGAGCGAGAGAGTTATTACTTTACTATTATATATCTTATGCAAATTCTCTCGGTAGTTTTCTTTTCATATATATGTTCTTTTTTTCTTTTTATTTTTTTTAATGTACAACATGTAAGAGTTGATATTCGAACTCTCGATCTTTTGATCGGAGATAGATGCTTACACCAATTGAATTGTGCTCAGGTTGGTGGAGCCAAATTGGCATCGATAAGAATCGTGATCGAGTTGGGACGAAACATGGATGAAAACAGTCAATGAAACAGAGATGGAGACCAAGGAGGCAGCATCTTGGCCTGCAGCTCCACGACGTCGTTACAAAGGTGGACGCGCCGATTTAATTCCATCCATAGCGTCATGGCACTATAACGATGTTTTATAAATAAGCAGTTTCAACTTTAGGGTTTTTTTATCCGTTTTGAGAACAATTTTGTGGCAGATTTTAGACAGAGGCTCGAGGTATTGGTAGAAACGTTGCGGTAGATCAAGATCAATATATTTGGGATAATTCGATCTTGGTTTTATTGTGACTTTTTCAATCTTGTACCTAAGTATAATGTGTTATAATACTCAGAAGCTATAGGGTTTTTGTTGGGACCGCTAGAGGATGAATATGTGGAGGAGATATTTGAGTGCTTGTATCCAAATCTCATATTAGTGGAACCCGCATCTGAACAGAAGACTGGACGTAGCCATTATTGGGTGAACCACTATAAAATTCTTTGTGTTGTCATTGCTTCCCTTTAATCTCTTATTATTGGAACGGGGAATTGGATCACCTAATTTTCCAAGTACAGTTGGTTATATTCTTGAATCGCTAATAATATCTTTTTTTAGATATAGTAATTTCTCTTATATTTTTCATTTTCATGGGCATCTCTCTTTCCAAAAAGGTATAAATTTTTCATCTAGTGTGCTGCTCACCGAAGCCTTAATACAGCTGACAGATTACAATCTCGTATGAAATCCCTCCACTGTAACCCAAATTGGTGCATTCGTTGTAAAAAGAGCAATGAAACACTAGATCACCTATTTTTGCATTGTGCTTTCTCGAAAAAAATTTGGAATCGCCTCTTTGCTATCTTCAGATTACCCCTACCGCTCCCAGGAATGTTGTGGATTTCATAACGAAAGTGCTTTTTAGCCTCTCAAATTCAAGGTGTTCTATATTATGGTGCAATGCTATAGGCTCAGCCTTATGGCACCTTTGGTTGGAGCGTAACACCAGTGTCTTCAAAGACAAAGAGAAGCTATCTATGGGAAGACATAAAGAGTTGCAACTTCCTCATGGTCCTATAGATCAAAGCGTTTTTGTGATTACAATATTCCCACCATCTTTTTAATTTGGGAAGCACATTCTTATAATTTCTTATTGTACCTCCCATCTCACTTTGGAAAGCCTCCCTATTGCTTTCTTTTTGTTGGTATGTTTCTCACATACATGTTAATGAATGGTTGGTATCTTAAAAAAAACCATAAAGTTTATTTAAGATGAAGGACTCACACATAAAATCAATCTTTAAATCACGTGCGAATTTTTTATTTTTATTTTTTGATATTCGTGAGTGTCCAGGCCAGATTACGCACGACTAATCTCATAGGACAGTCATCTGACCCAACAATATTTGGTGCCGAAAAGTGTTAAGGATCCTACATTGAAAAGATATGGGACCTAACAAGGGTCTCATGAATATTAATATAGGATCGGTGGTCATCATGAAGTTTGAGTACATTCCATCTCAATTTATCGATCAGTTCCTTTGGACCAATGAAACATCTACGATGATTATTTGTATATTTGATTTGCAATAATGTAATATACTAAGATATAGAAACCTGAGAGCTATATATAGTTTTTTA